CTGTAAGCCCTGCTCAGCCGCCGAAAGAATGTCGGCTGCCCCCCTTCCCTCTGGCTCGGCCACTCCGCAGGCCGGGCTCGGGGCCGCGCCACAGGCGGCTTCGCTGGCCGGCACCGTGGCTCCCGCCCCGACCGCCGGCGCTGCCGGCGTCTCCACCTCGCAGCCGCTCCTGCGGCCGAGCCTGCACTCGGCCCTGCTCCGGCGGGATCTGACCTGGCGCGCGGCCTCGCGCGCCACCCTCGGCCTGGTGAGTGTCCTGACCGCGGCCTGCGTCCGCCTCGGCTCCTACCGGCGAGTGTATGAGGGCGACCGGGTGATCGGGCTGCTGGATGTCCGTGACGCGGCCAAGGCCGGCCGGCAGCCCAGCCCGGCTCTGGCCCGGCAGGACCCGCTCTTCTCCGGGGCCGACATCGGCGAGTACCTCCAGCGCATTCCCCCCTCGTCACACCATGCCGACAGCCCGCCGGCCGAGGCATACTACCGCCGGCCTCTGATCACCGTGTCCAACCACCGGTCGGTCTTCGATGACCCCCTGACCTGGTCCAGTGTGCTGCCGATGCGGCGCCTGCTTGGGCCGAGCTCCAGCTACCGCTGGACCCTCGGCGCCCAGGAGCTGTGTTTCCTCAACTCGGCGGTCGGGACCTTCTTCGGCCTGGGGCGCATCATCCCGGTCCTCCGGGGTGGCGGGTACCGGCAGCCGGGGCTCGGCCTGGCGGTGGACATCATCAATGGCCGGATGGGCAACCAGCCGACGTCCGGCTTCGAGCCGGGGATCGACGCGTCGTCGGTCCCGACCGGCAAGTCCCCGGCCACCACCCCGCCGGTGCATCTTCTCGGCCCGGAGGAGCTGGTGCAGCATGCGCGCGAGCTGGCCGACAGCGTGCTGGCCTGGCTGCATCTCTTCCCCGAGGCGTACGTCAACCAGCGCGAGGATATGATCCCCCTGCGCTGGGGTGTGGGTCGCTGCATCATGGAAGCGCGTCTGCCGCCGGTGGTGATCCCGATCTGGCATGAGGGTGCGTTGTTTCTCTGTCTCTCTCTGTCTCTCTGTCTCTCTCTGTCTTTCTGTGTCTCTCTGCCTCTCTGTGTCTCTCTGCCTCTCTGTGTCTCTGTGTCTCTGTGTCTCTGTGTCTCTCCCTCTCCTTCTCCTCCTCTCCTTCTCCTCCTCCCCTTCTCTTCCTCTCTCTCTCCTCATCCCCCTCTCCTTCTCCCCCCTCCCCTCTCCTTCTCC